TCCCCTGGGGGGTGATTTCTCACTTTTTGTTTCTCTGTCTCTGTGTCTTTCTGGCAAGCATGTGCACCTTATAGCAAAAAAAACAAAAAAAACAAAAAAAAAATTCTCAAAACAAAACAAAACAAAACAAAAAGTTGAAAGAACTGATTTAGAAAGATCAGGTAACTTGCCTACATCCATATAGCTACCAGGTTCCAGAATCTGCACTGTCCTGCCCGACGACTCAGCCTACTCTCTTTACCACTGTACTGGTTTGACAAGATGCTGTCAATTCCAGAGCTAGCTCTTAGCCTTAGCCTTTTAGCCTTTGAACAAACACAGGCCTTGTGGGTCTGGCAGGTGGTGTGGTGGTTAAGGATGCCGGACTCCCACATGGCCAACCATGGTTCAAGTTCCGGACCTGGTAGCTTGCTTTCTCACTTTCCTTCTCTCTCTCTCTCTCTCTCTCTTACTCTGTCCCTCTCTGGTCAAATAAAAATAAATAAAATAAAAACAAAACAAAAAGGCCTTTGTGACTTGGCCTCCACGTAAGTACTACTACCTGCCTAACAAAGCTACTGTCCCCAACAGCTTGGTTTCCAGGTGTCCTGTCTTTTCTCTGTCTTCTCCACTTCTCTGGTTCTAGATTCTGTCTCAATTTTTTTTTTTTATCCATTTCTTATGTTAGATTTGTGAATCAGAATATTTGTTTTTCCTTTCCCAGCTTCTTCCAAATATTTTTTCATGATTTTCCCAAACGAGATTCTAGCATAGCTTTCATATGCTCATAGGAGAAACTCATACATAAGTGAAATTGTTAAAAGACAGTTTCTGGGCTGGCTCCTGGGTGCAGTCAAGAAAAACCGCATCTCAGGGACCAGCAGGTGGCATGGTGGTTAAGGTGCTGGACACTCCCACATGGCTAACTGCGGTTCGAGTCCCAGACCTGGTGGCTTCCTCTCTCCCTTTCCCTCTCTCTCTGTGCCTCTCTCTGGTCAAATTAAAATTAAATGAATGAATAAATAAAGTTAAATAAATAATTTACAAAACAAAACAAAACTGCATCTCACTTGTTGATTGTGGTTTGAATCTTAGGCCTGTCAGCCTGAAACTCAGTGGGTGTGGGAGTGCCCAGGATCCCAGGGGCTGGAGGGCTGGAGGGAATCGTAGTGTGACCAGACCCTGTGCAGAGTGCTTATTTCTCTCTCTCACCCTTGTTATCGTTCTCACATGTATGTGCATGTGTGCTATCACAAAAAAAAAAAAGAAAATTAAAAGAACAAATGCCATTGGAGGTATATTTATTTATATGCATCCGTTTATTTGCTATTGTTTTTCTTAAATAGTTTTTTGACGTAAGAGCCTTCCATTTATACACTTACATATACTGATTCTTTGAGTTTCCACACCGGGACCAAAGACTGATTGCTTTTTTTATTTTTTCTTTCTCTCCCTTCCTCCTTTTTTTTTTTTTTCTTTCTGCCAGAGGGTACATGCACTTGCCAGAGAGAGAGAGACAGAGAGATATCCTCAATGACACCCTTGCAGAGAGACTCCTCATAGAGAGAAAAAAGAAAGCACCCTCAATGGAACATGGTCACCTCACAATCCCTTCTCCTCCATTTCTCCATCTTATTGGTTTGGGGCATGCACATGTACCTGATATGTTTATAAAGTCACCTGGCCAGGGGTACCAAACCATGGTCAGCCATGTGGGATCTGACCCCCTTAACCATTGTACTATAGGGCAAGCCCAGATACTCAGGATCACTGCTGAAATTGTAAAGAGCAAAGAAATATTCTGAGTAATAGATGTCATATTCAACTTAATGCAAAACTTAAATAAACATTTATGGAATAAGTATTTACTAAGTGTTTAGATATCTGGTACCATCCTGGACACTACCTTCTTACTTTCCCTTCCAATCTTTTTTTGGTGAAGGAATATATTTTTAAATTAAAATAAGTTTTTTCAAAATGGGGATATGTGGACTGCCTTATGGTGCAGTGGTTAAGCACAGTACATCAGAAGCCGAGTCCCACATGGTTTGAATTCCAGTCCCAGAAACTCAAAAAATACACTTGGCGCTTGTATACACAAACCCATATCCTATCCTGATGTGAAATGGAAGAAAAAGGATTGCAGTGTGACTCCACCCCACTGGGAGGTGCTTCCTCTCTCTCTCTCTCCGGCAAGTGCATGCACCCTCTGGAAATTAAAGAAAAAATAATGGGGAGATATATTTATTTATATGCATCCGTTTATTTGCTATTGTTTTTCTTAAATAGTTTAAGGTGAAACTATGGTGAAAGGATACAAAGTTTAATTTACATGGGATCACTAAGTTCTGCAGAGCTCATATATGGCACTGTGACCATGGTTAATAATGCTGGATTATATACTTGAAATCTGCTAAAAGAGTAGGTCCTAAATGTTCACATACACCCCCCCCCACACACGCACACAATGTGAGGTGATGATATGTTAATTTCACTGTAGTAATCAATCATTTCACAGTGCATTTTGTATATCAAAATATCACATTACTCACCTTAAATATGTAGAACTGCCAAATTTTTTTTACCTTAAAGCAGAAAATTTTCAAAAATGTTTCTTAATAATATACAAATTCATTTCAAAAAATAAAAAATGCAGTCAAGCAAAACAGAATTAGGAAATACACACCAGCAACACCCACTTTCCATATTATCATGCATTCATGCATGTATCCAAGCTTTGATCTACATTTTTAAACTGTTAAAAAGTTATTTTTCCAGGCCAGCAGGTGGCATGGTAGAGGCTCTGGACTCCCACATGGCCAACCAGAGTCAGGACCTGATTGCTTGAACATTACACCAGGCATGCGTGCATGTATATGCAAAATCCCGAGAGGAGAAGAGAGAAGGGATAGAGGTGTGTATGTGTGGGGATTTCTCACTTTCCCTCTCTTTTTCCTCTTTCCTGGGAGAGCATACATGCCCTATGGCAAAAACAAAAAGCAGAAAACAAATAAAACCTGAAAAAAGAAAATGAAATTACTGTTTCTAATTGACAGGAGGGTTTTCTCATATCTTGATTAAAGAATTATCTTTCAATCACTTTAAAAGTTTGCAGGCCTTATAGTCAGAGGAGATCTCTTCTGTTTGAAATTCAACATGGACAGTTGACTAATATCTCAACTACTGAAAAGTGTGTATCCCTTATTCCACAAATGTTGATAGAAAATTGGGCGTAGGGAATAAAGAGATGATGACTAAGGCCTGTGCAAGGCAGGCAATAATCCACTCTAGTATGTAGATATTATGAAATAGAATATGAGATGCTTAAGTTTTTTTTTTTTTTTTTTTTTTTTTGAGAGGTCTTTTTTTGGCAATAGGGATCGCCAGAGAGACAGAGAGTTAGAAAGCGAGAAATCCACCCCCACCCCCCGGGATGGCCACACTGTAATCCCTTCTCCTCCATTCTCCTCTTGGGATCTTGGGCATGCACACACATCTGCCCGACCTGAGTTTAAGCCACCGGTCCCCGACTCGAATGGCGGTCAGCTGAGAGTCCAGCGACATAGCCATTACGCTATCTGCTGGTCCCAAAGTGCTTAAGTTTTTCAGGGGGTGAGAGCTTAAGTACATGAAGACACTTAAGACACCCTAAGGTTATGTGAAAAATAATTAGTGCTGACTGTTAATGTCTTTCTTAAAATTTTCAGAGGGTGCATGGACTCTCAGGAGAGAGAGAGGGAAAGTGAGAAAGCATCCTCCGTGGGGGATGGTCGTGCTGGGATACCTTTCTCATTTCTCTTTTCTAATGAGCACCCATGTACACGCACCCAGTCCATCTGGGACTTGAACTGCCTGTGTGGGACCAAGGTGCCTTAATCACACACCAAGGGCTGGCCCCTGCTAACCCTTTTAGAAGAATGTACTTCTGGTGGCAGGTGGTGTGGTGGTTAAGGTACTGGACTCCCACATCGCTGACCATGGTTCAAGTCCTGAACCTGGTGGCTTGCTTTCTCACTATCCCTCTCTTTGGTCAAATTGAGAAATAATAAAAAATAAAATTAAATCTTAAAAAGAATGCACTTCATGTTTGATGCTTGAGGAAAAGTTACATCCCACTGCCTGTCTCTCATCAATGGATTATTTGTGTTTCTCATTTATAGTATAGCATGCATGTTATCTTATTTGCTTTTAGCATATACATCAAACCAAGTATCTAACTCTGCCTAAGAGACATAGTAAGAATTTAGAAATGATTGACATAGTTTGCACACAAACATATATATTCCCCCCCACACACACAATGTGAGACGTCACTCGGGACAACTATAACGTCAAGGCTGTGTGTGGCGTCACGCCTCTCTGCGGCGGCGGCACGAGTAGCATGGGCAGCCCAAGCCTCCACGTTTAAGCAGGTGGCACAGAACCGGGACAGGCGCTCCGCGGTGCCCCGGGCCTCAGGCGGCCCCAGAAGTCGCCAGGAGAGCGTGAGCCGTTAGGCATGCGAGGAACCCCGCGCTCGCGTCACGCCAGGGAGCCGACGGACAGGCCTACGTCACCGAGCGCTCCTCGAGGCCCCACCCACTCCGAGCTTTGAAGCCCGCTGGAGGCCCGGAGGAGGAGCTTGGAGTGAGGAGAGGGGATGCGCATGCGCTTCGGGACGCAGTCGGCGAGCCTCCCCGCGATCTCGCGAGGACTGAAAGTCGGTGGCGTAGATGATAGTCCTGATGCTGGCGAGATAGATGGTATCTGCCAGAGGGAGAAGAGGAGGAGGCGAAGCGCGTTGCTCTCTCAGTCTTTTTCGCTTTCCCTTCCCCTTCTTCCAACCCTCCGCCCTCCTCTAAGTCAGCCCGCCTTCCCTGACCTCAGTGACCCTGCTGGCCCCGCCCACCCCGTCGACGTGATTCCCGCCGTGAGGTAAGCGCCGGAGATGATTGTAAAAGAGAGAGTTATAAGAAGCAAAGACAGGACAGTCGAACCTGAGCCCCGCGGAGGAGCCGGACGCTGAGAGGGGGAGGCTGCTGGGCCAGGTTCAGGCCCATGGCGGCGCCGCGGTGCGGGCGAGCATCTGGGTGGGCCTCTCCGTGCCTCCATCAGTTCGCTGTGACAAAGCCGCCCAGGCCCAGGCCTGCCCCTCCATCTCTGCCGGGCCCGGCCTCTGGCAGTAGCGGGTGACGCAGACGGAACATCATGTCGTCCGTGGCCGAGCCTCCGCCACCCCCGCCTCCCGAGAGCGCGCCTTCCAAGCCCGCAGCCTCGGCCGCCAGCGGCGGGGGGGATTACCGCCACAAAAACACGCCGCGTCGCGGCCCAGGCGGCCTCCTCTGCAGCCGGCGCCGGAGCGGGCGACGCCGAGATGGAGGTGAGCGCGGCTTGTGGGGCAGGGGGAGGCGGAGCCGGGTCCCTCTGGGCTTTGGGGATGAGGTGCAGGGCCGTGCTTCTCCTCTGCACCAGCCTGGCCGGAGCTCCTGCGGCTCCAGAATGATGCTCTCACCCTGGCGTCCTGGTGACCCAAGTGCATTTCTGGCCCTTCACATTTAGACGATTTGTCTCCTTCGCCAGTCTTGCCAAATCTTCTAACGTACTTAGTAATTAGATGTCGTGCATTACTGTGATTCTGGGGAACCCGTCCATTTTTTGTTTTGTTTTGTTTTGGCTTCTCATTAGACTCCCATAACTCCCTATCTCTGAATCTAGGATTTAGTTTCCACCAAACTTCGTGGAAGGGAGAGGCTCCTAAAGAGAGGGATGCACGGGCGGGTTGGGAGAGGCATTTTAAAAGCGGCGCTTCCGAGGACTGGGGCTTCCTTTTTTTCATCCCAGTTCTTGTGGGGGCGTTATCTGTTCTGGGCAGGAACAATGGCGAGTGCTGGATGGCCGAGTGCGCATTGGGGTAAACCCGGCGCAGCTGCGTCTGCGAAGGGAGCGCAGGCGGCTCCTCTACTCCGAGGGAAGCGACCGAGGCAGCAGCGGCTGTCTTGGAACCCCATCTAATTTTGGGGAGAACGATGGAGGAGGGATGAATGAATGAGAGAGTCACGGCACTTGGTTGGCTTTCACTCCAGCGCATTTCCTCTTTTGGGGCTTGAGCCTCTTAAATAAAAAATTGGTACCGTGCGCCCACAGCCAAGCCTGCTGGGCTTGGGTTGGCCAGCGGGTGGTGACAGTACTGCGGGGGCGGAAAGACGGGGAGCTTCCAGGCGGGTCTCTTGGGTAGGCTCCCAGGCTTTGCAACGTCTGGGAACAAAGTGATTGCTTCTTCCAATTTTTATTCTTGGCCTTCGACCTGTTCTGCGATATTTCTTAGTCGCAGCCCAGAGATTTCCGGTATTTCTTCATCCTAGATACAGCATGAAAGTAATATTGCTCTAAAAATGAGCCTTTAGTATTAACGGAGGAAGGGAAGTGCAGTTTACTATCCAAGCACTGCGTGCTGTAGTTCTGTTTGGGTAGATAGGGTGAAGTAATAGAATTTTCAGTGGTGAAGGTAGGTTTTAGTGAAATTTGAAATTGGAATTGTGTGTTTTCAATGATAGAGATTTGTTTAAAAGTGTATTTCGTGTGGCCTTTTTTTCTCCTTTCAGGTTTTAAATGGTTCTTTTGAATTACCAGGGCTGTTT